AGAAGCTAGCAGTTGAAATCTCAATTTAGAGTGTTTTGTTGGGGGGATATTGTTCAGCGCACCGAAAAGAAAATGTTTCCTTAATGAATCACCTACTGTACCTGCAGTGTTATGACATGATTAGTGAGCCTTGGTGCACATTCCCATTAGTTATCTCGGGCTGTCATACACTGATAAACCCGAGGCTCATGAAAGTCAGCAGGAATTTATTCATTGTGTTTTGCTTCAATGAAGGCATCGGGCAAAAATAATCATGAATTTTTATATCAGGTTTGTGATTTTTTTTTTCCCTTGAATAAAGTATGAGCACCTCAAAGGCATTTTTGGCGCTTCAGGTTCTGCTATTGCATTGCAGAGTGGCGAAGCGTTCGGTTATTTATTGGGGTAAATGTCCCTGGTAACATTCAGCAAGCACAATACAATGAATTACAATGCAGATTCGGGAGAATACATCGCATTACAAGGCAGATTAAGTCTAAAGGTATGTTGGTTTTTTAATTAATTATGGCGCATGAATAAAATGAATCCAACCTTGTATTGCGGAAAGCCCTTGGGGAATTCGCCTGCGGGCAGTGAATAAAGGTTTGTTAAAACTCCTAAAGATCAAAGCAGGAATCAATCATGGCAGTCTCCATAAAACTAGAAGCGGATTAACAGTTTTAAATCTCCGAAGTGACTGGGCTGAGCAAAGCGTGTAAACGGTTTGTGTGAGGAGAAGCTGCTGCAATGCAGGCACCGGGTACATGACTAGCGACCTATACGGTCTCAACAAAGACCATTCTTCTGGCTTTACCCTCCACCCACTCTTACGAAACCTTCTCCATTGCTTATTCTTCACTCCCTCTGCCCCCGCCACCCCCCCCCTCCCCCACCACCACCCAACGAACGTCTCGCTTTCCATCACTGGACACTTCGAGACGTCGATTCCTTGTGAAACGTCTTACGGTATCTCAGTGCACGATATCGTCGATCAGAAGGTTGTACATCTTGTCAATTGGTCAATTTAGGCCTATTTATAGGGTGCAGTTATCGAACGCTTGATTTCTGTTACTGAAAGGGTAACTCGCCACTTCATCCTTTCTCTCCCCTCCAATTCTTCTTCCCTCCCCTCACCCCCCCCCTCCCCCCACCCCACCCGAAGATAGACGCATTTTAGTAGAACTTTGGAGGTCACCGAAAATCGAGACTGAATTCAGAAATGTTTGAAGATGTGCACAGTCCAAAGCGCTCCAAAAAGCCGTCCGGCGAGAAGGGCGCTATATAATAATAATAATAATAATAATAATAATAATAATAATAATCCTTGCATTTGATATAGCGCTTTTCACGTCGGGAGGACGTCCCAAAGCGCTTCACATAATATACTGTAAAGTGAATTGACTGTATATTTGTGGGCGAACGCGGCAGCCAATTGCGCACAGCAATGTCCCACAAACAGTCGTAGATTAAAAATGACCAATATATTATTGTTTTGTTTTGGAGGGATCATTATTAGGCTCTGTGTGGAGTAAGGAAACTTGCCCAAGGTTTCACCCTCTGCCTGGGATTGAACTCAGGTCTCTCACTTGCAAAGCGAGTGCTCTAACCACTGAGCTACAGGGCTCCACATGATGATGATAATATAATAATAATCTTTGCATTTGATACGGCGTCTTATCACGTCTTCTCGACGTCTCAAAGCGCTTCACAGAATATGCTGTAAAGCGAATTGACTGTATACTTGTGGGCGAAACAGCCAATTGCGCAAACAGCCGTGGATTGAAAATGACCAATTTATTATTGTGAAAATGACCGATTGCAACATTATAAACACAAGTTGTTGTTGTCGTCTTGAATTGCAATACAGCATCTCAGGGCTAAGACTACAAGAAAGGTCCTGCCTCCGTTCCGCATAGCTCAGCACAACACTCACGAGGTGCAATGAATTATCTTCTGGGCCTTTGTGGCCCGGCAAACATTAGTGGCTCGGGACGCAGCCCACGTCTAATTTCTCGGCCCACGTTTGCAGCTTAAATCCAGGGAGCGTTTTAGATATCTTCACTTGTTCCAAAGATCTCAGAGGATCCAGTGTGAACCCTGAGGCCAAGCCCTGTGACGGGCACAATCTGGCAAGCTGATGGCAAAGGTTATGTGTCTGCTCGGCAGCTCGGCTCTCGGTTTTCCCTGACCGGTGCTGTGAACGGAAGCCCGCAAGCCACTCACGTTGCTCCCCACCCTCGAGTTTATTGACACGGAACAGCAGGATACGGTTTACACTGTTCCAAGACGCACATTCCCGCACAGTGCTGGGGGAACGTTATGTTGTCACAAGTGTGTGTTCCTGCAGAGGAGGTATGAAATCGAGGTCCCATCCGCCTGCTCAGGTGGACATTAATGATCCCGTGGTACTATTTGTAAAGGGAGGACATTTTCTCCCACACTACTGGCCGCCAGCCACCAAGATAGTCGACCGGCGGATCGCTTTCCGGGGAAAATAATCCCTCCCCTCCACCCAAAAAAATAAATAATTTGGTCACTCAATCCACGACTGCTTGTGGGACACTGCTGTGCGCAATTGGTTGCCGTGTTTCGCCCACAATATGTTACAGTCAATTCACTTTACAGTCTATCACAGTATACAGGTGAAGCGCTTTGAGACGTCTCGAAGACGTGATAAGGCGCTGTATCAAATACGAGGATTATTATTATTATCATCACAATAGTAATAGGCCCAGGACAGCCTGCAGGTCCGAGTGGAACGTCTGTGATTTAATACGTTGTTGATAACCTTCCACGGAAGCGAAGAAGGAGAAGAAGAAGAAAGCCGCTGCAGGATGGCAGCAGTTGTTGTTTGTGCCTGTGAACTGTTGGGGTATGTTGTTAGTAATGTTGTTTTGGGGGGTGTTGATAGCACCCGTGACATATTCGTGCGCAAGTGTACTGTACCATGGAGTGGTAAGACCTGGATTCTGTTCTACAATTGGCCACACTCGAGTGGAGGTGCCAAGGGACCTTCCAGGCTCTTAAGCCCGCTCCGAAGCATTTCCCCCGAGAGACGCAGGGAGTCAAGGAGGCTGAGCTGTCCCATGCTGCTCTCACGCACCTCCAAGCACCTGCTTGAAGGCACCAGACTGTCCTCTCAGATGGGGAACGAACCGAGCATATCACAGGGACCAACGAAAGCGGGAGAAAACAAGTAGGGCAGCAACAACCTGCTTGTCGCGTAGGACAGGATCTCAGAGCGGTGCGCAGTGGTGTGTTCGGCAGCTGAAAAAAAAACAGGAGCAGTAAAGATCTCTGGGAATCATGCTGACGATGCAAATGGTTTCAGATGTTTGGAGCCTTAACCCTCCCTCGTCCTATACACTCCCGCGCACGCGCACACGCACACGCACGCCCCGTGCTCACCCACACCTGCTCGTTATGTTCTGAGATTCCCTTTTCGTGAAACATCCTGACTCGCCTCTCCACCCACTATGGACTGCGCGCAATTGCCTGCCACGTTTCACCCGCAAAATGTACAGTTCATTCACTTTTACAGTGTATTCCGTGAAGCGCTTTGAGACGTCGTGAAGCCGGGGTAAGGCGCTTATATCAAATAGACGGATTATTGCTATTGTATGGCGAGGTGCGCGGAAAAAGGTAGTTAAGTGGGACTCAATGAGTTAGAGCCAGACACGGGCACGAGTGACCTCCTCCTGTGCTGTAAATGCAGTATCAAAAAGCAGATACACATTGTCGATGTCAAACGGGATCCACAGCTTCGAGAAAGGCACTGCGATAATCCGTCAAACAGGGCCCGGTTGTCTCTGGCTGTCGGCTTCCGAGAGAAGACGAGCTTCGGAAGGACTCATTTGGCTGTCGGAAAGATTTATTGCTCGATATAACGACATGCAGGAATTTTTTTCAGCGGCAAAAACAGGAAGCGGGTAGTTTCAAACCATTTGTTAGTAATAACGCACTGTATCATAAATCAGCATGGGGCAATCAGCCAATTGAATCAGCTCAGTTTGGTGTCCCACAAGAGCTAATAAATTACCGATGAGAGGCGTCGGCATTTCTGCCTGATTTATAAACGAGGCAAGAAAATCTATAGGATGAGGAATTGGTACCCAACGTGAACAGAGGTGGTCGATGCTCCTCGGGTTACACTACACCTACCTTTTCTCCCTGTGCTTATCGCAAGCCCATTAGGTAGTCCTACTTTGAGATAACCTGTCAATGGCACTGAACGCTGGACGTACGTATGACATATTAGAGACCTAAGATAACACTGCAGATGGCTGGAGGAGCGAGGCACAAATTGAACCAAAGACCTCTGGTCACTTCGTATCCTCAGAGCATCAACTGGAGTAACCAGAAACTAAGTTAATGGATTAATCGTACTTTCATCATTGTTTGTAACGTAGCTTTAATTGCCTTTTTTGATGTATGTGTTTAGTAAAACTATTATGCATCCAGTGGACTGAGCACAGTCGAGATGACATGTTCTGGGTTACATGATTAATACATAGGCCTGTACATGTTGGCTTTAAAGCACATTCTAGCAAACCGCAGGAAAATTAACGGATTGTGCTTGTGAAGGTGTCCTCACCATGCGAAAGTTGCTGAGTCAATTGCAATTTCCAGGTTGTTATTAAAACTGGAAGTCGCGGTCGAGGTTGACTGTTTTGGCATTTTGTGCCTGGGAAAAGGCCCCAAAGCGATCGTCGTCAAGCGCAAAGATTTGATATCCCTCGGAACTGCGATTTTTCGGCAAATTTGGTAACCGACCTTTGTGATTTCACCAGAAGTCTCCCACTCTGGGCTCGCCGGCACTGTTCGTTCAACCCCACGCCTAATCCACCGGAGAGAAATGTATGACGCAGTGCTTTCATAGTATAATTTAATCCATTTCATGTTGGGATTGTGAAGACTTTGATCGAGAGAGAGAGAGAGAGAGAGAAAAATGAGCTATAAAACTTGCTTTGTTCAGAGCAGGCAGCAGAATGATTCCACGTTCTCTTCTTTTCTTTCCCCAGCTGGCACAACGTACATTTTTAGCAGAGGTAGTGGACTAATCACTTACACGTGGCCACCCAATGACCGACCAAGCACCCGAGCAGACAGGCTGGCCGTGGGCTTTGACACGCATGTGAAAGATGCCGTTTTGGTGCGTGTAGACAGTTCCCCTGGGCTCGGAGACTACCTACAGCTTCACATTGTAAGTAATCCAATTCCAGAACCAAACTGGCTTTCTCCGCAGACGAGGGTGGGCGAGATGTGTTTCTTTTGGAATTTTTATTGTTGGCAATGACGACCGGCTGCCCCGGTGGGAATTACGGAGCCCGGTTCCGTACTCGAGGTGAATTCACCGCCTTGAACGTCGAACGGGTTAACGCCGTCGGACGGGATAGAGCGGAGAGTAGCATGTTTTCCCTGCCCTGACGCATTTAAGGTGGCTCCGAGAGCTGCACAAAAAAGGCTTTGTGAAGCAGCTAATTTCACTTCAGTTCAATGCGTGACTCTTTTTACGCGGCTGTAATAAAACGACACAAGTGGCAGGGAGTGATTTGTGTTTTCGTTCGGCAAGTGCTTCGGAAGATCAAGGAACTCGGGTGGCAGGTGTTAACTAATCCTGAGAACTGATAAAACCCATCATCGGGTTTTGATCGGAGCTGGATGTTAGCCACTGGGAATTTTGAATCTTGAATTGACTGAGGAACGATTATGGAGTCACTCCCGTGATTTGTTGACAACCTTTTGTGACAACACAGGCTTCCGGCAACAGAACTATTTTAATGTAAAAGGGCCAAATGATTGATTTAATCAACAGTGAGGCATTTGTGGGACTCGCTCTTTATTTTCCTCCACGCTTGAGACTTTCTGTCACTTTATATCTGCTGAGACTGATTGCTTGCCGCCACCCTGCAGCCCGAATATTAAAAGAAATCTGGCTGTGTTCTGATCAATTCAGCAAAAATAAAAGAGAAACATTATCCAACTAATTATTCATATTTTCTTTAAAAAAAATTAAACAAGCAATTAACTAACTATAAAACAGTGAGGTTAATTCATTTTGGTTCAGGTACTACCTGCCTGTCCCACTGCCCTCCCCAAATGTATTTGTGTTCTTATCAAAATCATGCAGTCAGTCTGAATAAATATTTAATTTAAAGTTCACTCGGGTCACTTCAACAGCGTATTCTCCTTGAAGAGGCCTTCATCCGGCCCTTATGTTAAGAAGTCCACGTGAAATAGTGGATCCAACGCGTCTCCTGTGAAATCGATTTGACGATGGAAAGTTTCTGCGTTCCTCTTTAAAGGTGCTGAAACACATTAAATAATTCACATTTTCTCAGCCCCTCACAGACATTTTAGAACCAAATATTGAGCGTGGACACACGGAGCGAGTCTCAAATCATCGGCACCCCTGCAAACTTGCGTTCAGCCACAGAAAGAAGCTGTAAGCCAGAAAGTAAAGGTCGTAGGGTTGGTTGGGGATGTCGGTATGCAGACGTGCAGTTGCCGTTTGCAATTGCAGGTTACGAACTGCCAAAGAAATACAGATCTAGAGAGAGAGAGAGAGAGAGTGTGTGTGGTTATGTTCAGCGGTCGACATTTTAATAAGTACGGATCTGTTTGTCTCTTTGAACAAAACCACCTAAAGTACCATTATTTACTCCCATCACCGGCTTCCGAGTAATTGCCAGGCAGAAATACCATTAAGCACAATGAATCAGTACTATTGGAAACATGTATCACCATTTGGCGCAAAAAGGGAAGTCGTTTTCCCGTAAATTGATTTTCGCATGAATAAATTGATCGCGCAACTTGAGGGCGGTCGATGTAAGGTGATGTTGTCCATTGTTGGTTACTAGCGTCGCGGGAACACGTGAAACCGTACGCCAGCAATTCAACCACCGCACGAGTGCTCTTGTCTCAAAGGCGCATTCGGCGCGGGTATTAACCGAGCGCTAAATTTATAAGCAGCCAAATGATTTCAAATGTTTTACGTTCGTGACTCAGCGCGAGGGCTCACCAATGGTTCATGTGTCGAGGCTTTTAAGCGATGCATTGCTAACATCATACCCAAAAAGTCACCGTCTTGCTCTACAGGCGCTGGAGAGGAATAGTCACTTTTGTCACAGCGTGCAGAACCGAAGGTCAGTTCCTCCCACACGTTATTTTAAAAATATGTATTTCTAAAGATATCATCGAGAGTTGATTTGAGACACTTTCAATTGAGCTTCGAGACCCAGTTTTGAAGCCCACAGATACAAATTGGGATGAAATGTCCTGTACTGACTGTCGCAGTTGCAGTGTATAAGGCATAGGTTTGGACGTTCTCGAGTTGGTTTGTGGTGAACAGGCTCATAGCACTCGCATTTAACTTTGCCGTGGAGTGGCAAAAAAATTATTAAGGTGGTTCCTGGAAAATGCTACAGTTGAGAGCATCGTTTAACCCACATTTGCTGATGCAGTACAGAGGTGAAGGCACGATTCTGCATGAACCGAAATATTAAGGCAAAGTGGTCTCACAAGGCCTAAGATTAGGTGGAATTTTGGACCTGAAGGTTGTCCATTTTCTCTTTGCACTCGGTGTAGAGGTTGAGTTGAAATGGGCTCAGCGCGGCTCTGCCCTGGTTTCCGAAATGCAGTTAATCTGTTCTTGTAAACACTGCTGTAATACAATTTCAGATGTATAATTCAGCATTACATTTGCCATACGTTGTTAATTTCAAATTGCATTCCAATTATGATAAGTGCACAGGAAAACATTTGATCAACTTGGAAAAAGAGCAGCCCAGCACTTAGCCTACAGCGATTACTACCTAACTGTAGCTTAACGAGTTCCGGCCTGCTCCGTAACCCCCCACCCGGCCCGCCTCACCACCCCCACCCTTTGGAACTCCATCCCACGTTCCCTTCGCCTCGCTTCCTCCCTTGCCTCCTCTTGAAGGCACGTCTCAAGACCCTTCTTTTCGACTGTCGGTCACCCACCTGCCCTCCACTTTCCCTTACCCCAATCTCCCCCCCTCTACCCACTTGGGTCAAAATCCCTCACTGTCCAGCACCTTGGGGCGTCCTCCCGACATGAAGGGCGTTGTACAAATGTAATTTTGAATTGTATTGTGCGTGCAACGTGGGCTGGTCTCCACGTGGAACATTGCTTATGCACGTGGGAATTCTGGACTTGACCGGGAAGTGCTGAACACACTCTTATTGGGTCGCAAAAGAACAGTTCGCAGAACAGTTAACAATCCCTCGTTTTGATCCGAGCAAAAACTCAACCAAAAGTGTCCCGGCGTGAAGAAAAATGGTGCAAAGCAGAGACAGAGAGAGACAGAGGGGAAACCTTTACTGCACCAACTCATCTCTTTTTGAGGTCGAGCAATTTCCATGGCACAGTTTTGTGCAGCACCAAACGTGGGTCTGGTTTTACTTCTCGGGGGATAAACCGCAAAAATACCTTCGCCCGCGCCCAGTGCAGCCCTTTCCGATGAAATGCAGTGCCACTTACCGATGTCCCAAAAAAGTTGAGATCCCCAAATCTCCCATTTGTTGAAGATGGTTACCTTGCGCTAATAATGGATGTTAAACGAGGTTTTGCACTGAGACAGAAAATCCGTGTAAATTTTGGGGCTTGGGTTCCCTCAGTGGTTCAGTTAGTGTGTCCATAACTTATAGCCATAGAGATGGGTGAGGTCCCAGATTCACTCTTGCCCTGAGTTAGCCGATGTCAACCAGGAGAGCAGTTAGTATGCCACAACCAACCTGAGGTCAGAGAGTGGGAGATCAGTCAGGGTTCAAGATTCCGGACCGTATCGAGACGTCCACACGGGTATATTTTGAACGCGGTTAGGATCGGATTCTGGCTCTTCCTCATCGCAATCGAATAACCTACAGAACCTTTCTGTCAAGACTCCACACAGGAGGAATAGTCCATGTGGACGTGACCTCTGTAGCTGAGCACAAAGGCAAAATAGGTCCAAATGCCTTCAGGAAAGGAAGGGAAATCGGTGAGGAAAGGGATATAAAAAAAAATTGAACCCATATCGGACATTTTACGCGCGCAAACCTTTGCTCCCTCTTCTGATCATAAGTGGCAGCTCGGAAACATTTCAGGTTGTGCTCTGAATTATTTATGATGTTCGGCTGCGCAATTATCAATGTCCGATCGTACGGTTGGAGCTTATTGGTGTTATCCTCTGCCTATATTAGCTGCTTGCTTCAGTCCGGAAGACTTGTATTCTGCTCAATAATATAACAGCACAACATTAGCAAAGTTGTTGCAGGCCTACCTAATTGCGTACATTTATGTCTTTGTCTGCAACATGCCTCAATAGAGCAGCAATAACTCCTGTACACTGTTATCATGGGAGACTAATGTTGTTTGGTTCTGCTGTAGTTTGTCTCCATGGGGCAATTCTTGCGAGCATTCGAGTGCTGTTTTCCCATTCTCTTAATTGCTTGTGTCTCTGAAAAACACCTGATATATATTCAGCCTAAAGTAGGCTGGTGTTCGAACTCCGTACATCCTGACAATCTGCCAGCGGTAGTGTCCGCTGTTCGAAAGCTGTTTGCCCTTTCTTCTGCTGCACAGTGCGCGAGTGGGAAGTAAATTCTCCCGATTACCCTTTTGAGGTTTTGATTTGCTTTTTAAATAACCTTCTTTTTGTCCCGAAGAAGAAGACAGAGACAATTTGCCCTCATCTGCTGTGTTTAAAATGATCTTATTTACATCTGCCCCCACACCGTTTTGCGAGTGGCACTTGGTACGTTTAAGTTTCTCTCTCTGATTGTTTGAACACAAAAGGTCTTTACATCTATTAGGGTTTGGGTGAATTCTTTATTTCACGTAGGCTGCACCTGCCTCTCCGCACAATATCGAAGGATTAAGCGGAGATTTAATTCAGGAGTTCAAAAAATTATGAGGGGTTTTGTTAGAATAGATAAGGAGAAACTGTTTCCACTGGCGGGTGGGTCGGTAACCAGAGGACACAGATTTTACGATAATTGGTAAAAGAACCAGCCGGGAGATGAGAAGAATTTTTTTTTTTTTAACTCGGTGAGTTGTTACGATCTGGAATGTGTTGCCTGAAAGCAGATCCAATAATAACTTTCAAAAGGGAATTGGATATACACTTGAAAATAAAAAAAAAAGGCAAGCCCGTGGGGAAGGAGCAGGAGAAAGGGACTAATTGGGCAGCTCTCTCAAAG